ACAAGTCCAAGAGGTTTTAGATTAAGCAAATATGCAAAGAGGTTTTACACTTTTCATAAGTAAAGATAACATACGACTTTTATACTGAATTACATCAAAATACTGAATTTTACTTTACTTCTAAAAGCCTTTTCTTCCATCTAGAGACTTTGTCATCTTCTTCCTCCTTCCATTAGCCATCTTGGTGCACTTGCTTTGGTCGAAAATGGCGACGGCACCAGAAAAATGCGAAGATCAACATTATAATCAGAAAAATTCCTGCAAAAACAAACAGAAGAACATAAAAATTGGAGTTAAAATTTCGGAAATTTAGGAATTTTGAGACCCATTTTGCTTTTGTTTTTTTTTGAAAAAGGTTTTGATTTTTTTTTTTTATCAAACAAAGTAAAATGTGATCGTTTATATAACCGATTGCATAATACTACTGTTCACTACATTGTTTAACTTTACAACCAAATTTGAAGTATGAAGAAGAAACGTTTTGATTTCTTCTTTATCCAAATGAGGTAAAAGTGTGAGAAAGTCACTTTTACTCCAAACGATGACGCATTTGTCACATAAACCACCATATTCAATTTAGAGGAAGACTCCATTACTGCAGAAGCAGAAGCTTCGGTGTTTGGAGAAGACGATCAATACTTTGGGCCGACTCGATTTATTGGGCTGCAAGCCCATTGTATCTTTAATTTCTTACAAAATGCGAAATGGATAAATGATTAATTTGTCCTGGTTCTGGTTATTGCCATTCGGTTTAATTCGGTTCAGCCTAGGGTTTTAAGACTTTTGGTTTGGTTCAAGATCAGAGCATTATATCATTAATTTTTCGCAAGATTGGGCCAGCAGGCCCAGCGCAAACATGAATCGTTACACCAAAAATCCTTTCTTCATAATTCAGACCATAAAATAACAAGTTTTAGGCTTATTCTGATGAATTGAAAACACACAGTATGGTTCAGTTCCGTCCGGTTTGGTTTTTAATCTGATGCAAATTCTCTTTGGTTCAGTTCTTTAATTTCGGCTAGCTTTAGGTGAAAAACAACAATTCATGATACGATATTAATTCAAGAAACAATTAATTAGAAGTGTATTTCAATTTTTAAATAAAAAGGAAAATCGAAAAAATTAATGAACTAACACAATTAACCAAATTTAAGTGCAGTTCGAATTTGCACAACTAATTTATTATCCTTGTTTCTCAGCCTCAGTTATGCTTTTTCTACATAATTACTCCGAATTTGCTTTTAAATCATGTCAATTCAG